AGAAAGTACGCATAATAAGGTCATAATGTTCCATATGGCTCATAGAATTACAATTATCCTTCAAGGTAAGTCTACCTCTTGTCTAATTTTCAATTATATCCGTCATCATAACATACGCCATTTGTAATATTATTCCACTTATTATGTGATCATATTGTGGTCGCGCGTACTTTATTTGGAGTCATGCTCTTTTGTACGGACCATACCACTAATTTTTTATGTGGTTAAAGCCTGATAAATAAATAAATTAATTAATTAATCCAACTTGTACTCGAGGTCGTGCGATTTCGTCCTATACAAATGACATCAGAAAAAATCTGTTAACATTTGGTCAGCTACGATTTCAAGCTCACGCCCCCTCATGTAAGCTCATACAAATTATGTCTCAAAAACACGGTTTTTGGATCTTTTCTCAAAATAATGACTATCTAGGCAAAAAACAGAAGTGGATTCAGTTAATTCAACTATTCACAGACTGTATTATATGGTTTAGATTGAATGCTATTGAAAAAAAAACACCGTACTTTTTGAGTTGAATGTACGCTATTGGATGTTTTTTACCAGAATACATGACATAACCGGGGTCAAGCTAGAAAATCGTCTCTCCTTGAAATAAAAAGAGAATCTGTCAAAAAAACAGAATTGGATTTGAAAACCCCGGGCTTTCGTGAACATTTTGGATTATAATTCATAGGAATTTGTTAAAATTTAGAACCGTATTTTTGCTGATTTTATAAGCTCATACTATCTGTTGGCCTATACATTCGCCTCTTATGGTTTCTTGGTTTCGTAGCCTCGAAAACGCGCTAACTACGGTAGTTAGCGAAAGGACAGAAGATTTACGGGTCATTTCGGATGTGGTGCATTTCGATTCGATTTCACAGCATGGCTTTTATTATGGAAGATATTATCTTCATCTTGAAGAAAAAAATAATTTAAGATTTTTTTCCCGATTTTATGTTTTCCTTTTCAGATTTACTCAAATTGTGCTCCCTGTAGATTGTGTATCGGGAGCTCYGCTTTGAGGCAGTGCCTAAATATATATATATTAGTAATTTATTTATTGAGCGTTATTTATGGCAGTTCATAGTATTGTTCTACAATTGCTCTGTATTTTGACCACTGACTTTAACAACACATTTGTTTTTCAGAAAGCATTATTAAAAACGAATGGAAAGGCTGGGTGAAAAGACGTGATGAGAAAGTGCAGTGGAACGTACTTGATGAAAGTTCTTATGAAAAGGTTGCAAATGCCATAAAATCAAAAGGTAATTCATGCAAGGTAACTGGATCCTCTTATATACCCAAAACCATGAAGAGGTTTATATTTTCTAGGGCAGAACTTGTGGACTCCGCCTAGAAGTATCTTCAACACACACACAAAGGGATTGCATGTAATATATATCCCATAGCATTCAATGGTGTCTTTATTCAGGTGGCAGCTTAACCCAGGATTATGAGTCAGACATTGGTTTCTCGCTTGGCCATAAAAACTACTCTGTCAATATCAAGATGAGCCACATGCTGCACCAATTAACCTTGTGTCTTTGGATGTCAATCAAAATCATGATCTCATCACCAATCAAACTTAATGTCGATTATATGAAAGTCGAAAAAACGAAGGATGTTGGCATTAATATTGCGTTTGTTAAGATTGATGCTGTTACRAGGTAAACAACATTCACATAAACAATTATTTTACGAAGTGACAGATAAGTGCTATAAATATCTTATGCATAAGACCTAATAGCTGTTTTTTCTTTTTTTT